AGATCATTCATATATATATATATATATATATATATATATATATATATATATATATGCGAAATACGAAAATCTCTGTGTCGCACTTTTTCAATTCAGGGGACACAACTCTAACTTTTAAATATCTCATCTACTTCAATATAATAAGTGCGAAAATGTCTGTGTGCCATACTTTTTCAATTAAAAGTATACAACTCTCTAACTTTTAAATATCTCATCTATATCATAAATTAAAAAGACACAACTCTCTTTAAAATATCTCATCTTCTATATAATAAATGCGAAAATGTCAGTGTCACACTTTTTCAATTAAAGGGACACAGGTCTCAATACTTCATCGTCTTCTTCTATAAAATAAACACGAATGTCAGTGTGTCAATGTGTCACACTTTTCCCACTTTACTCCTAGAGGCCGTAACCCAACATATCAAAATATTTTCGAATCAAGCCTACCTGGTGAGTAAATTAAAAACATTTCCGGCCGGATCCGGACTCGCAATCCTAACATTTTGGATTTACAAGTTTTCATTACTGCCATTTTTTTTGGGCGATTTTTATAGCTTGACGTCGCTTAACTGATCGAGCCATGGAGGAGCGTTCGATTAGCAAGGTCGATGTTACTGTCTTTAAACTTCAATCTTCCATGAATCTCTCACGTACATTCATATCTGCTAAAAGCGTATCCAAATGTAAACAAATGACGTCACACATTATGAAATTGGACAAAGTCCGACAATTATTTTAAGATATATTTTTTATGTTTATCTGTGGCTCAATCGGTTAAGGCACTTCACGCTATATGACGATTCCGTATAGGATACAGGTTCGATTCCTGTCGGAGGACGAATATTTTCTATGAAAATTTCTCAGACATTCAGGTCGGTAAATGTTATTAATACTGTTTTTTATAAACAGAGCATTTACTTTGTATCTATAAAAAAGAATGTATAAACATAAAATGTCTTAATATATATATATATATATATATATGAAGTAATAATATATATATATATATATATATATATATATATATATATATATATATATATATATATATATATATATAATGTCTTAATATATATATATATATATATATATATATAAAGCAGTAAATTCGACCTTGTCTACCGAACGCTTCTTTGTAGCCTAAGCGGTAAGGCACGTCAGCGTATATGACGGTTCCGTATAGGATGCAGGTTCGAATCCTGTCAAAGAACGAATATTTTCTATGAAAAATTTCTCGGACATTCAGGCCGGTAAATGTTATTTAATACTGTTTATCATAAACAGAGCATTTGCTTAAATACTTGTATCTATAAAATAACAACGTTAAACATAAAATATGTCTTTAATAAATAAATTGTCGGACCTTGTCCATTTCTTAATATATATATATATATATATATATGGTTCAAACACTAATATTCCATGGTTATAATTTATTACATTGGAATCGTAATCACGATCCTAATCATCAGACCTACAAATTCAAAAAGAAATCGGAAAATATAACTCCGGGTATAAAAACAAAATTTTAGTGAGAGTGTATGTGTGGGAGTGGGAAACAAATGTGAGAGGGAAATGTATGAAAGCTTTAGATTCCAATGTAATAAATTATAACAATGGAATATTAGTGTTTGAGCCTTTTATATTATATTCTTACTCTGTCATGGACATCGAGTTCTACTACCTGGATTCTATAGTCTTGGGAATTTATATATATATATATATATATATATATATACTGTTGGAGTAGAAGTAGCTGTTGCATTTGACTATTTCAACAGTAAAAGAGTGGGACCTAAATACCAATCTAGTAGCGCGCTTAAATTCATGTATTTCGGCACCAGGGGAAAAAAAAACTTGTCAGATCAGTTGCCATTAAATATTAGTAGACAAGACAGAGGGAAGCCACATCACATCGGTGAGAAAGTGACTGGAGTCGAGATGCCAGATCAGGATCGATTACATTGCAGATCCTTCTTTGGATTTTGTCTGGATCAATAACAGGAGCACCAGACTAGATATAGCAACAGTTTTCAATGCACGGACGACCTAAAATATATTTAAGTGGATGTGGATCGACTCTTATATAATAACTGACCAAATGAATAAATATTATGCTATAATTCTTCTTGTTCCTTAGATAGTTCGTTAGCACTAACGTTACATCCTGCCAATAGCTCATAAATAATGGATTATTTCGACTTGACTGTGAGGAAAGACGGGAAAGACATATCAGAGATGCTGTTTGGTTTCAGCGAAAAAAAAAAAAGAAAGACAGAAAGAAGTAAGGGAAGATAGATAAAGTGATAATGCCCTTATGTGTTAACGTTTGCTTCAGTGAAATGGAAAAACTTATCAGTTTCAAATCGTTTCATTTGTACCCTCTTAATTAATATGTATGATTGTTATTGCAATATTTTTTTAAAGTTGTTAAGCTCAAATATTTAATGTGGCAAATTCTATGAATATTTTATTGTGGTAGAACTCGCCATGAGCTTATTTAATCATTAACTTAAGAATTAAGATTCATCAGGAAATGAAAACCTTGAAATTTTCACAGGTATTTCTAGAAAGAATTTCTTTTGCAAATCCTAGCCGTCTTGGTCGCTCCGGGAAAACAGTCTGTATTAATCATATATAAATTCAAAAAGAGTCCTATATTTTGGTGTCGTAGCTGCATTTTAAAAACTAGAGTGTTTTAGATCATCACCGAATCAGTGTTTATCGAAATATTAATTGATTGTAATTTTTGCTCTATAACATTAATATTCGACATGAAATAAACCAACAAGATGTAATTTCTGTTTGATTTTCAGGGATGATGCGTTATCATTATTTACATAATTTATATTCGGACTAATGTCCTTATCTTTGTTGTTGTTTTCAAAACGTTTCAGATGTGGCCTCCGTCCTTCCTCAGTTATATATCAATCCAGGTAAACTTACAGATTAGATAAAGGGTTCAATTGGGAATTCCTTGAAGTTACGTTGTGATAACAATAACAAAGATGAGGACAATAGTCAGAATGTAAACAGTGTAAATAAGACGTGATTCATATTGAAAGTAATTAAGTTAAATGAACTTTAACCTGTCTTTAATTGTTGTCATGCGTGGCTGAGTGGTTAGGACGTTCGATTTCCAAGTTCGAATCTCACCATGTTCTATTTGTCGGAAAGGTGAATGATTGATTCTGGTTTGCGTCTTTTGACCAATGCCTTGTGAGTGAAATTGAGTAGAAGTCGATTTTTGTTCTAGCACGAAGTAACAAGTCATCGTGACCGAGGGTTTGAGTGTACTGGCCTTGGCAAATTATTCGCGCTCTCACAGGTCCACTCAGTTGAGTTACATTATAAACCATATATGGTCCCTGTGGGTGATGAACAAACACAAATGTGCTTGATCGGGCGTCTGCAACTGGGATTGGCTAGCCGCTTTAGCGGACGGGTTCACTCGGAAAACGACGCTAGTTAGCATTTATCTCTCTCTCTCTCTCACACACACACACACACACACACACACACACACACACACATATATATATATATATATATATATATATATATATATATATAGTAATGATAAAATATGGTAATCCGTATGGAATTTCCAGGAAGATATAGTTCCAGGAGAGTTCAAAAGACAGAGCAAAATTATTATTAATTAAAGAATGTCAAGCACTTGTATCCTATAGATAATAATTTTTATTCATGAGAGCTCTAAAAAAAGGAGCTTTTTTTTAGAGCTTTCATGAAATAAAAATTATTACATAGTGGATTTTAAGTTTGAGTATATATATATATATATATATATATATATATATATATATATATATATTATGTTATAATATTGGTAAAAATAATGTCGTTTTCTTTTGAAGTTGAACGTCAAAAACGACATTATTTTTGCACCAACCTAATAAAAGTGAATATTGAAGTCAACACTTAGAGGTGACATGCTGTTCCATGCTAGACGCAATCGTCAGGCCACACGCTCTATCTCTGATATTGAGCACTTTATCCCATAAATATAGCACACCTTAAGAGTATATTTCTTCATAGATATATACATATATATATATATACACACACGCACGCACACGCACACACACATACACACACACACATACACACACACACATACATACACAGACACACACACACACACACACATATATATATATATATATAATTTAAAATAATGGATATTTTATTGATATTTTTTAGAATATTCTGAAAACTTTTCTTGATGTGAAAAATGATCAAAATTTGTATTAAGCTTAAGCGTTCAACTCGCTTGAGTTATCATCAGGCGTGTGAGAAAGCAAAGAGGATGAAAAATGTATTTCAAGCAGCGTATTCATTTAAAAGTGTTCTCTTTCTCTCGGTGTTTTATCATAACCGGCATTCATCCCTATTTTCGTTGCCTTTGAAGCTAACATCTTGAAAATAGGGTTCAAAATTTTCAAATTAATTTTTAAGACATTACCATCTTGGACGATGAAGCCTATCAAACAATTTAAAAAAATAAGTAAATAAAAGAAAATAGCATTTCTAAATGAATGGCTTGGCAGGTGATAGGAAAACGGCGTTTGTTTTGGTTCGAAAGGTGTGGAAAGGATTATAAAAAACAAAAAACAAAAAACGCTTTGATGTCAACAGAACGTTCTCGGTGAATAGGGAAGTCAGGTAAGTAATTGTGGTACCTCTCGTCAGGTGTCCGGCCAAGTGAAATGAAAAAGAAGATGACCAGCAAAAAGATGAGTAAATAGGATCGGATGGCATGCAAAGTTCCACGTGGAAAAGAAAACATTGTAATGCAAAATGATTTGCGATAAATGAATCGGAGACGAGTTCCGACTGTTACGCCCATTCACTGACCTTTAACCTTTCGGTGTTTACTGAATAAAGCAAAGACATTAAACTGATCGATTGAGTTCGGTGACATTCCGGGTGGGAGGTCATTTTAGCCCAACATAAACGTCATTTGATTTGTATAGAAAAATCTATTTCATATTCATGAACAATTATTCTTTCTTTCTTTCTTGCTTTCTTTCTTTCTTTCTTGCTTTCTTTCTTTCTTTCTTTCTTTCTTTCTTGCTTTCTTGCTTTCTTTCTTTCTTTCTTTCTTTCTTTCTTTCTACCTTCCATCCATTCTTTCTTTCCTTCTCTTTTTATTCTGCATTCTCTCTATTCTTTCTTTCTTTATTTCCTTTTTTCTTTCATGTCCTACCCTCTCTCCATTCTTTCCTTCCTTATTTTATTCTGCCTTCTTTCTTTCTTTCTTTTATTTTGCTCTTTCTCATTTCGTTTTTCTTTCTTTTATTTTTCCTCTTTCCATTCTTTCTTTCTTTCTTTTATTCTTCCTCTTTCCATTCTTTCTTTCTTTCTTTTATTCTTCCTCTTTCCATTCTTTCTTTTATTTTCCTCTTTCTATTCTTTTCTTTCTTTTCTTTCTTTTTATTTTCCTTCCATCCATTTTTCTTTCTTTCTTTTATTTTTCCTCTTTCCATTCTTTTCTTTCTTTCTTTTATTCTTCCTCTTTCCATTCTTTTTCTTTCTTTCTTTCTTTTATTCTTCCTCTTTCCATTCTTTCTTTCTTTTCTTTTATTTTCCTCTTTCTATTCTTTCTTTTCTTTTTTTATTTTCCTCTTTCCATTCTTTTTTTTTTTTCTTTTATTTCTTCCTCTTTCCATTCTTTTTTTCTTTCTTTTCTTCTACATTCTTTCCATTCTTTCTTTCTTTCTTTTATTCTTCCTCTTTCCATTCTTTCTTTCTTTCTTTTATTTTCCTCTTTCCATTCTTTCTTTCTTTCTTTTATTCTTCCTCTTTCCATTCTTTCTTTCTTTCTTTTATTCTTCCTCTTTCCATTCTTTCTTTCTTTCTTTTCTTCTACATTCTTTCCATTCTTTCTTTCTTTCTTTTATTCTTCCTCTTTCCATTCTTTCTTTCTTTCTTTTATTCTTCCTCTTTCCATTCTTTCTTTCTTTCTTTTATTTTCCTCTTTCCATTCTTTCTTTCTTTCTTTTATTCTTCCTCTTTCCATTCTTTCTTTCTTTCTTTTATTTTCCTCTTTCCATTCTTTCTTTCTTTCTTTTATTCTTCCTCTTTCCATTCTTTCTTTCTTTCTTTTCTTCTACATTCTTTCCATTCTTTCTTTCTTTCTTTTATTCTTCCTCTTTCCATTCTTTCTTTCTTTCTTTTATTTTCCTCTTTCCATTCTTTCTTTCTTTCTTTTATTCTTCCTCTTTCCATTCTTTCTTTCTTTCTTTTCTTCTACATTCTTTCCATTCTTTCCCTTTTTATTCTGCGTTATCCCTGTTCTTTCTTTCTTTCTTTCTTTCTTTCTTTCTTTCTTTCTGTCTGTTTCTTTATTTTCATCTTAATATTTTCTTTTAAGATTATTTTAGAAACATGTACTTTTTAGTTTCATTACTTTTTCCTTCTTTTTGTGTTTTTCTTTTTCTCTTTTCTCCTCTTTGTTTTTTTTTAAATTTATTCTCATCCTTTCTTTCCCTCCCTACCCGCTCTCTCTCTCTCCCCCTCTCTATCTCCCCCTCTCTCCCCTCTCTCCCCCTCTCCCCCTCTCCCCCCTCTCTACCCCCCTCTCTATCTCCCCCCCTCTCTCTCTCTTATTCAGTCGTTTTCATATTAATCTCATTTATTCATTCTTCTCTTCATTCACATTTTATATTTTCTAAATAAGTTTTCAAAATTCACATCATCCCCTTTTTCTTCCCTTTGACAGACTTTCTCCCTCAGTTCATTTTTCTCATTCTTTCTAACTTCAGAGATTCAATCGAAAAAAGAATTTCATTTAGTCACACTTCCAGACATGGACGAAAAGATTTTCAGAACAATTAACGGCAAACTTTATTTCATTTGAACTCACAGCAAATATTGAAAAGGAAGAAATATGGCTTCCCATTGAACAAACTCATCATTAAAGTACAACGTTAGACTATGACAATACAATGAAACAGAAAAATATTATCATCATTTGCATAATGAGCAGCAATGTTCATAGTGTAAATATCACTTGTATACAATGTATTATGTGCGGTAACATTCACAGTATTAACATCAGTAGTATGCACAGTGTAATGAGCAGTAAGTGTCAATGCCACTTGTATACAGAGTAGTATATGAAGTGTTATAAGCAGTAGTATAGACCGTGTTAATGCTAATAGTATACACTGTGTTATCAGCAGTGGTATACACTGCGTTATCAGCAGGAGTACTTATGATGGAAGCAAGACAGAAAAGTGACTGTCGCCCGAAAATCATATGGTATTAGCCTAATCATATTAAATGATAGATTTCCCAAGATTCGGCACTTTGTGCTTAACTTGCTTCTGCAGCATCACGCACACACATGAACGTCACGGGAAATGAACAATCACATATAGGCTTAAATTCTAACATACAGAGACATCTAAGGTTTTACAGCGAAATGATAAAGGCTGACTTGTAGTGCTGGCATTTAAATGGGTTATTGGATGCTGTATTCACACTGCTAAAAGGTTAGCAATGCAGAAAATGGAAACGGCGTGCTGAGTTCAAATTTTGACCGAAACTGCTACGTTCACTTCTGGACTAATGCCTTTGTAAAAGGCATGAACTCGTTTTTACCTAGTTATGGGTTAAATAACAGGACAAATCGACCTTTCTTGCTCTTGTGGCAGCCATCCGTGTAGAAGGAAAAATATGAATTCAAACGCCCGTAAATAATAGGGTAGACTCGGATTTTTTTAACATTGGTAGGGCAACGAGAAGGACAATTCTGAATTTAAAACCAGCTTGAAACGAGATAGGCTCCGTCTTGTCCTAGACATACCCACTACAGATACGGTTGCAGTACACGGGCCCCTACGACTATCAGGCCTTATGGCACTTGTGATCATGATCGTAAACAATGTAGTTTGAGGCTTCCGTCCACCTCACGTTGAAACACCGTTTCTCGTACGCTCATCGAAGTTAAGCAACGTCGAGCCTGTTCAATACCTTGATGGGTAACCGCTTCGGTAAACCAGATGCCGTGAACTTGGATGTGCTGTTGGTGTAAAGGTCTTACAGGCACCTCATGTTGAAACGCCGTTTCTCGTGCGCTCACCGAAGTTAAGCAACGTCGAGTTTGTTCAGTAACTAGATGGGTGACTGCTTGGGAAAACCAGGTGACGTGAACCTGGATGTGCGCGTGATGTAATGGATAATAGCTCGTTATTGTTAAACAGGGAGCCGAGTTCCAATTCCAGTTGGCTTCCTTATATATACTTACGTGCAAATAGCCGTTGGTAAAGATATCAATCCACCTCATCTCCTCAGCTATGGGTTAATTAGTAATACTTTCAAGTATTATCAACTTAAAAAATTCTTACAATCTAAAAATATTTTCTGGCTTTAAATAACCTGAAAAGGGTTGATAAGCCATAGAAAACGAATCAAACCATCAACGAATGTAGTTTGAAAGCATATATAATTTACGTCTAGAAGAGAAGAAAATTATAAGAATACATGACAAAATAAATAAAAACTCAACTGCAGCATCTTGTAAGTCGTTTTTAATGAAAATTATATATATATATATATATATATATATATATATATATATATATTATTTATTCAAAATTATAACATAAATATGCTATAAAATCACTACTAAAATAGCCATTTTTGTTTCAACACTTCTGGTGTCTTATCAACTGATGGTGTTGAAAGTAGAATAAAGGGTTTTTTGAAAAAAGGGATTTTTTGGAAAAAAAAAACAACCTTTGTTCTACTTTCAACACCATCAGTTGATAAGACACCAGAAGTGTTGAAACAAAATGGCTATCTTTGTAGTGATTTTATAGCATATTTATGTTATAATTTTCGAATGAATAATTATATTTGCTCTACTCTCTATTGAGCACTCTTTTAAGAATAGTATTTTTGGTTATTGGAATTTATTCCGTATACACCAATCCCATACTTGCATATATATATATATATATATATATATATATATATATATATATATATGCATGTATGTATATATATATATAATTGTGTATTTCGGCAGCAATCCCCCATTTATGTATGTTTTATTAAAGACGACAGTCAAGATACAGCGATTAAGCTTTTTATTTAATTTTTCTTGTGTTCGAACAAGTGTTTTCTTTTCTGGACACAGAGTGTGTAAGAACTGTCCAAATGTTCTATAGTTCCTAGCGCTTTCGGCTATACGTTTAGCCATTATCAAGGATGAATTTATTTTTATTTTTTAACTGGATGTATGGGTTGTATGTATGTTTCTTCTGAACTTATAGAATGAAAAAATTGTTCAAAAGTTTGTTACTTCCGAGCGCTTTCTGCTAAATTGTTAAGCATTTTTCAAAGGATTTTCAAGGACCATTTTTTTGTCATAGTTCTATAGTAAATCCTATGTAAGTGCTATTGTAGATGATATAAAAGTCACTGAACGTATAAGCATTCTTAATTTCCAAACACACCCAGTACATTGTGGCAGTGTTCTGAATTTATATTATTATGGGCACGTTTCTTGTTGTCCATAATAGTAATTAACATAAAATATGCAGATGGCACAGTATTAATGGCACACCCAGAAGGAAAACTACGGGTGCTCCTACAGAATGGCGCGAAGGAAAGCGAGAAGAAAGGATTAAACATCAACTGCAAGAAGACAAAATACATGGTTGTTAGGAAATGGATGAGTCAAATATGCAAATTATAAATTGGAGATACCCAAATAAAACAAGTACAACAATTTAAATATCTGAGAAATATAAGATGCATTGGGATAGCGGAAGATGCCTTCCAAAAGTTAAGCAGAGTATTAAGAAACAGAAAAACTTCGTTAGTAAGAAAAAAAGAACACTGAACTTTTATGTAATATCCGTATTCCTATATGGCAGTGAATGCTGGACAGTGTCCTCGCAGATGAAGAAGAGACGCGAGACAACATAAATGTCGTTCTACAGAAGGATGATGAGAATACAATAAACTGAACATGTGAGTAACGAGGAGGTTTTAAGGAAAATAGAAACTAAAAAGACACTTATACTTAGAATCAGAAAGAGACAATTGAAATTTTGGGATACGTAATGAGGAAATAGTGCTTGGAGAATTTGACACTCACAAGACATACTGAAGTCAAGAGGAAAGAAGTGAGAATCTTACCAAACGAGTTTATGTAAATGAATGGCAGCATAGGGTTTGGGAAAGAGAGAAATAACGGAAAGACAAATCTTACTCAGAGTTCAAAAAAAGATAGGAAGTTGTGGAGTGTCTGATCGCCTGCTTCTTAAAGGAACACAGTGCGTAAAAAGATACAGCGTGGGTAATTCTTCTTTGAAATAACAGCCTGAATCGGACGATCATCAGTTATCGGCTATGATGTTTTAAAATGCTGCACAGAAAATAACGTTGCCGTCAGCGCTGGGGACTTTTCAGATCGGATCATCGAACTACATCACGCGAAGACCAGTTATATAATCTTCAAATAAGCATAGACTTGATTAAAAATACTTGTGATGCATCTCTGTGGAAACTGAATAAGCACAGACTTGCGAAATGACTGTCGTAAATAAAGAGAAGTATGTAGACGGCTTAGATCGATAGAGTTATAGAAATTGATAAGCCCTTGGCGATTGAAGAAGACTATCAGAAGAGAAGATAATTAAAGAAATAGAAATATTCATTGCTGATCGATTTTCTGTAAATTCATATATTCTTCAATTGAAATTCGTTTTACATATTTTCTCAATCAGTCCGAAAAAAACCCCAAACAACAAAGAAATGTTTCAGAGAGACTGCTATTTTCTTTCCCGTTCAGCAGTGCGAGATTCTGAAATCACAGAAAAACAGGATATATATATATATATATATATATATATATATATATATATCCGATATATATATCCGATGATGAAACGAAAGTAGTATATGAATTCCAACGTTCACAGCATTAATCCAAAAGAGGGCTCGATACCGATAGTAGAGCGATAATTATTTATTTATTATCATTTTATCATATAGACAAAACGATTTTACTCACTACAAAAACGCAACTTTGTTTCAGTGCATTTCAACTGCACTTCGATGGGTGAGAATCGAAAATGGATCCACTTTTGTAGCGAGTAAAATGGTTTTGTCTATATAATAAAATTATAATATATTATATATATATATATATATATATATATATATATATATATGTTGTGCGGTATTTAGTAGAAAGTGCTCAATATCCGCGTTTGCATGGATAGTAGTTGTAGTTTTTAATTCCGTGTTTCACGCTTTCGCGATTTTCAGACAAACTGGTTTATTTTTTTTCAAAAGTGGATCTATTTATGATTTATTTGCGTTTGATTATTTGTGTGTGGTGGAGGGTGAAAATTTTTCTGCTGTGTTTTATTTGGGGTGACATTCACATGTACATAGACACACATACATACAGAGGTATACATGTTAGTTCGTACGTACCAACCCATATTCATAATCTTGTGTTAGGCGCAGTTACACATTCAGACGTAAGAGCACGCGTATTTACACTGAAATAGACAGAATGAAAATTGCGTAAATACGTGTGCTCGAACGTATGAATGTGTAACTGCACTTAACCCAAAATTATGAATATGGGTGTATATGTACAAATATTATATATATATATATATATATATAAAATAATAATAATAATAATAATAATAATAATGCTACATACGGACAAACAAGTACTCACGACAAAGATTCATTTTTGTTTCGATGCGAATATCGACAGGTGAGGAACCTGTGTTTCTTCTTCTTCTTCTTCTTCTTCTTCTTCTTCTTCTTCTTATTATTATTATTATTATTATTATTATTATTTTCCTTTTATGGAAACCCTTTATATATTTCTTTTCCTTTTATGGTGTTTCTTAGGATATTAAAAAAAAAAGAAAAATGAAAAAATGCAAGTGCTGATTCATAAGTAGCATTATTAAATAGAATCGTTTATAACCATCTTTGTTTCTCACCTGTCGAGATGCATTTGCATCGAAACAAAAATGCATCTTTGTCTCGTGAGTACTTGTTTGTCCGTATGTAATATCTTTATAATAAATAACTATTGCTCTACTCTTGGTATTATGCCCTCTTTTAAATTAATGCTATGAACGTTTGAATTTATATTCTTTTCGTTCTCGTTACATTTGAATATATATATATATATATAGATAGATAGATAGATAGATAGATAATATTAGTGGTCAATATATATATATATATATATATATATATATATATATATATAAAATTCCCAAGAGGATAGAATCCATGTAAAATTCAATGTCCATGACACAGTAAGAATATGATGAAAAAGGCTCAAGTATTCTATAAAATATTCTATAAACATTCTATTCTCAAATATAAGGCTCTAATATTACATGGTTATAATTTATTACATTGGAATCGTAATCACGATCCAATTCATTAGACATACAAATTCAAAAAGGATAATAAAAACCCCATTTTCAAATGGTTAATATTAAAAAAATGTCACAGGTATAAAGCAGGTGATAAATTTTGTTCACTATGTACAGAGTAAAAGTTAGCTTTTTTATGTATAAAAAAAAAAACAATAATTTATTAAATCTAAAATCTGAAATCCTGAGTAGGTGTAGACATAGGAAACGATTGTTATTAGAATAGTTTTTTTTTTTCCGTTAGTGAATAATGACGTAATCCCACCCCCCGTTGTTGAGTTACGGCTTTACTTTTGACTTATATATATATATATATATATATATATATATATATATATATATATATATATATATATATATCACATGGTCATGGTTGTTTTTATGTTCTGTTCCACCTTTATCTCGTTGGCCAGTTGACCCTGACGATCCGTATAGGTGAAACCTGGGTAGATTTACCTGGCTCTTTAGGTTCATATATATATATATATATATATATATATATATATATATATATATATATATATATATATATTACAAACGTTTAGGTAATCGTATTTGAAATAGAAGCCACATTTTTACTGTTACTTTAAACAGTGTACACTATTTACATTATTCACCACTGTCTTAGCCAGGTATTGAACTCACACTCTTTGGGTCCTGTCCCTGGATCTAACTTTATCCACTGTACCATGTGTCCTTAACACGTGGAGAACTTTCAGAGGGAAATTAACAGGAGATAATTGATAACTAATATCCATTAAACATGGCACGTAGAACTAGAACAGTCTACCCCAGTGAGCGAAATAAAGGGTTCAGTTCGACATTCCAACCACCTGAAGAAGGCCGGAGCATGCAACGGCCGAAACGTTGTAATAAATATGGCGACAAAGATGCGGACAATAGTGCTAATAATGTAAATAGTGTACATAATACCTCATCTCTGAAATATAGACAGATACTGAAAGGCCGAAACGTTGTAATAAATATGGCGTCAAAGATGAGGACAATAGTCCGAATAATGTAAATAGTGTACATAATACTTTATCTCCGAAATATATACAGATATTTAAACAGTGTATATTGCGCATATTGGCTTGCGCACTTGTGAAATCTGAATAAAGAAAA